TCAAACCTTGGCCGCCTGACCTGACTGCTTTCAGCCCATCGCAGAACTTGGCCGAAAGCGCAGAACCTGGGCCGTTCGATGAATTTTGTCCTAGCATCCGAGGGCCCAAGTTTTGCGCATCGGGCAAAGTTCTGCGATCGGCTCATGCAAATCGGACTCGGGTCAAGCGGCCAGGTTTGACCGAATGTGCAATATGCTGCACGGGGGTCAAGCCCGGGGACCGTAGAGCAGAAACCTGAGGGCTCAGTGAATCTGTCACATTCCGGGCAGAACTAATCTACGATGTGATACTGAACTTGCCTCTTAACCCACGCGGTCCACGATGGCCGGAAGCGTGGGAGGAAGGACCGACTTTAGCTACCGGGATTGAGAAACTGAAGTATAAAGTAGTGGTCGGTTGGCTCCACTTCACACCGGGAGGAACAACCCGGTCGATGTAGATCTGGTTGAGGGTTTAACTTGTTTCTCCAAGTCCGTAAACTGTACGGTCAATCCACAATCCTAAGTTTACTTCCGCCTTGAGCCTCGGTTGGATATTTGCAGCGACCTGTTGAGCAGATATGTACCAAAACTTTCGCCCTAACACGACGTCCCGAGTAGTCATTTTCGACGGACCCTTTAAATGGCGGTAGATTCAGTTCGATAGAATTGACGTGAGGTACAATCCGTCACAAGATTCTGTCGCTAAATGCAAAATTGCCAGAGCGCGCGGCATCCAATCCGGCGGTTTCGACGATAAATGCGAATTTATGTAGAAACAGGGCAATATTCTAGTAACATCGATAGCTAAGAAGTTCAGTAACTACCATTATCAGGGAGGCAACCATTACCACAGGGGATCAAAGTTTTCGTCAGGCCTCGTCAACTTCAACTTCAACTTCAAGTTCCTTCACACCGACAGAAGTGTGCGTGGAAAATGTTGGAACACCTTCAATGGCACCTGTCGCTGGGTAGTAGGGCGACCATGTGACCTCAACGCTTGCTTGAAGAAGAAATTAACGCAGATTACATATAAGTTAAAACAGCAACCCCATCGATGGCGCAGGCGGCGCTGTGCGGGCGCTTCCAGATTGCAGCGCCCTCTCCGTCCAGCAGGCGGCAATGCTGTGACTTTTCGGCACCACCTCCATCGTCGGGCTTCCCAGGCTTCCAGGCATTCCTCAAGGGCCATCATGGAATCCACGTGCAATGCAAACACCTGTCGCCGTTCCTTGGAGCAGCGCTGCCAGCTGTCACGACAGGTGCAAAACGACTTCAAAGAACTGCAAGAAAAAGCAGGGGTGGGCGAAATGTCACAGCGGCTGAAAGTCGGGGCGATGATACGCCGGAGGGGCGGACTGAGGGTGGTTTCGTAGAAGAACGGAGTGTGGGGGCAAATCCAGGAGGCGGCATTTCGGACGGTGGGCGTTTGGACGGAGGTGGGGCGTCCAGTTCGGGCGGCGCTGATAGGATTGAGGCACAAGAAAGTGGTTGGCAGCAGCCGCCGGGAACTAGAAGTGGAGAGTGGGAAGATGAAAGCCGCGGCGAGAAAGAGTCGGTGCTTAAGAGAGCGATGGCGCGGGCGCGAGCTGCAGAAGAAGCTGCAAATGGTGCCAGCGGAAAAGCGTCGTCGAGCAGTGCAGAGTCTCAAGAATCTGCATACGAGCAGGCTTGGGAGGTGGATGAAAATGGCGGCTGGGACGTGATTGGGGAGGACGAGATCGATGACGTCGTCGCTGAGGTCGGCGGCGATTTCGAGGGGGATGACTTCCCGGACGTGGAGATCGCCACCCCCACGGAGCTGACGGCGGCGGAAGCGGTGGCGATGCTTCCGGTGGGGCTCATGGACAGGGCGAGGGAGGTGCGGGAGTTTTATGCGCAGAAGGAGCGGCAGGGGGCAGTCGACAGGGGGGAATTGCCCCCCCCGTTTGCAGGTACGGTGGATGTGGCAGAGATTGGAAGGCGGGGAGGGCCGGAAACGTGGTCAAGCGAAGTGAAGGCGAGGAAAGCGAGGGAAGAAGCGGAGTTCAGGATGTGGGCTGCTAAGCAGGGTTGGGAAGAAGAGGAGGAAGAAGAAGAAGAAGGGGATGAAGACGAAGAGGAAAGAAAGCGAATGCAAGCGGAGGCGGCAGCAGAAGAAGGATCGCACTCGGAAGTGAGTGCTCTGGATTCAATTGATCCCGAGACTGCCAGCGCAAATACGAGGCCGGTCACATTAGATGCGTCAGAGGAGTTGGGATTGTCAGAGCGGTTGGCGGCGTCTGAAAACTCGGAGACGTCAGAGACACCTGACGCATCCGAATCGTCCGAGGAGACCATTCGGACGGTGCCCATCGACGAGTTCGGCGACCCCGATTGGAACTACAAGCCCGAGTCCGAGAAGAACTCCGAAGAGGAGAAGTTCGCGATGAAAGTGGACGACCTGCCGCCCGATCTGCTCGAGCACCTGAAGAAAGCGCGGGACCGGCAGACGGAGAAAGACGTTGAGGTGGTGGATTGGGGGTACGACCAGGTGGCGGGCCAGCAGACGCCCAAGTGGCGGCGGGAACTAGAGGCGGAGGAAAAGGCAAAGAAGGAGAAGGAGAAGGCGCAGCTGGAGGACTACATTTTCCGGTGAGCGCTTGGTTCTGTCTGAGTTCTGTCCGATTCCCCTTGGGCTGTCTTGTTTATCTGGTTGGTTCTTTTGAGTTGTTGTCATGCAAGTATCGGAAGTAGGTGCCCGGGGCTTGCATCATTTGGAAAGCTTTGAGGCTTCGATTGCCTAAGATAGAAGTAGGGCGCCGAGAAAGGTTAACGCATTTCAACTGCTTGCTGTCTTAAACGTGATTGGGGTCGTCATTCAATTGTCCCGAAAGCAGAACAGCTTGGGGTAGTAAAAGCATGCCATCCGCCTAGTCACGAGGTAGAACACTATAGCCCTGGTCAGCTTACAAAGTCCGCAGAATCTCCTCGACGGTCAGGAGGGAATACACGGTTCAACATATCGCGATGGGCAGATGCAGGCAACGGTATTTAAGGAGAAGCGGAATCTGAAACGCTGTGCCTGTCGATATCCTTGCTTGACTCTGCAAGAAGAAATAATTCTTTGTTGATGTCAGCGCCTCACCTTTCATCCAAAAAGAAGGTCTCATTTACACGTATAGGAGGATGGATCCAATCTTGTAAATTCTGGACATGAATCAATCTTAAGAATTTACACTCCGACATCCGTGCTTGCATCAGCCGGGGCCTTTGGAGCTCGGATAGAAGGGCATGAAGCTGACTGAATCCAATTCGAGGGGAGTCACGCAACCTTCTGATCTGATCCATTCCCGTCCAATCTGTTCTCGACTTGCAGAAAAAAGCTCTTTACTTACGCGGAAAAGAAGGGCGTCAAGGTCACTGAAACGCGCCATGTCTATGACGAGGAAGGGCGCGAGATCAGCCGTGACGGGAAGCCCCTGAATGGGGCCGCAGAAGAGGAAGCGGAAACGGATTCCGTCGACGAACTCGAGCCGGAACCCGAGCTGCCGGACTGGGAGTCCGCCATGGAGCCGTTCGAGGGAGAGTACTCGGACCTTTCGGACAGCGATTCAGACGACGACGACGATTTGGACGAAGATTCGGACGGCGAAATCGTGGAAGCGGAACTCGTGCAAGAGACGGAAGGTTTGGGAGGCGCGGGTACGGCAAGATCTGATTGGCGTAAGGGAGGGGCGGCGTTTGGCGGAGAAGTGCGTGCCGGGGGTTCAGAAGAGGCAGTTTCTGGTAGTGACACTCCGAACGAGAATGGGGACGATAACGGGCGATTCTCGGAGGGCTTTACGGTGATGGCGGGCGAGCCGGGGTACCGGGCGGTTCTGCAGTCGGGGCGGGACAGTGCCACAGAGTCTGGCAGTCGTTCGGACAGTGGCAATTTGAACGACAAAGCGGCCCGAGCTCAGAAGCGGGAAAGGGTTTCTGGGGCTGGGTCCGCCGGGTCGAGCGGTCTGGGCAGTAGCGGAACGGAGCAGAACGGACCGGAGCGGAACGGAAAGGAACGGAAGAGGAGTGGGAAGAGCGGAAACGAGGCGCGGGGAGAAACGCAGGAGAGACCGGCGGAGTCAGGTGAGGACTTGTTTGCAAGCACGTACCTGAAGGAAGACGAGGATCTGGGGATTGATTGGGGCGAAGAGGAGTACGAGGACTGCTTTTCGGACGGAGAGGAGGAGGAGTCGGACGCCGAATCGGACGCACCGGAACCGTCCGGAAACGGAAAGGAACGGATGGATCCGGAGCATAAGGAGCGGCTGCGGGCGATGCACGACGCGCTGGAGCGGCGGCTCGAGCGTCCGAAGGGTTCGGACGGTGCAGATGGAACGAAGGCTGCGGATAGAGCGGAATCGGACGGTTTGAAAGCTTCGGACGCGGCAAAAGCGGCCGGTCCGAAGCCGTCGGACGGTCCAGACTCTGCGGACGGTGACGAAGATTCGGACGACGAGGAGATGAAGCAGGCGGAGCTGAAGCAGTGGGCGAAGGAACTGGAGGCGGCGCTTCCGAAGGTGACCTACAAGCAGTTTGAGTCGCTGAAACCTGTTTTGGAGGAAGCCGGGTTAGAGGAGGAGGGTTTGAGCGACCTGCTTCTCAAACCCGGGTTTGGGAACTTCATGAGCGATCAGCTGTCCAAGCGGTCGGGGACGCTGGCGCGGCGGCGGGTGACGTTTCCGGTAGCGGCGGTGGGGTTAACGCTGCGGCAAATGGGGTTAAGGGGACGGAATATTAACCAGATTCTGGCGAGCGACAAGTGGGCGGAGAATCGGTCCGTAGAAAGCGCGTCCGCAGCAGAAACGGACAGGACAAGGGAAAGTGAAGAAGAGGAAGAGAGTGAGGGGTCTGATCTCCAGCAAGAAAGTCTCCCGGGGGGGCCCGCCGAGCCCTCAATTGTTCCCCCTGTTTCGGAAACCCTCGCTCCAAAGCCCGCTGCTCCTTTTGTAGAAAGCACTGCACCGTCGGATGTTGAGTCGAGTCCCCGGACAGGCGTCAACGAAGCCGCAGACGATACCAATTCTCTTGAGGAGTCTGAGGAGCTCAAGAAAACGCTGGGGCTCAGCGGAGCGACTCTGGACGACATTTTCAAGGACGGGATCCTGGATAAGGAGGAAGTGACGGCCAATCTGAAGGAGCAGTTGCGGGAGTTTGAGAGCGAGGCTTTCTGGGGCGGGGAGGTGGACCCCATTCCCGATGACGACATCAGACCCGTGGTCGAGAAGGTGAGAGCGAAGCTTCTGTAATTTCATGAGGTGTTACTTTCCCATAGGATACAATGCAGACGTGTACGTCACCTGGCTTGATTCTAAACAGCATTACATTACTGCCGGGTAACAGGAGGGGTTTTTGAAGCGTTTGAGTAGGTATGGTTTCTGCAGAGCACGTAATTGTTGACTTCAGAGGTTTCCGTTTAGGTCTGTCCCGAGCATCAGTTGTGTGCTACCTAGCAGCAACGCTATCCAAGTAGGGGAGTATGCCCCACAATTGAGCATCTAACTTTTACCACCGTCGGTAGGTCAGGTAAATTTCAACAACGCAGGCGAAGCACTGAACTCCTACGCTTAAGATTGTCTTCAATCTGCTGCCACGCTTTAGGCACCCCTGTAACTTGAGTTCAACCCAGTTCCTTAACCCGCTTTGCAGGCAACTGTCCCCCCTACCGACGGCCCGATCCGGTTCGAGGGCGAGGAGATGAAGCTAGCGGAATTGGCGGAGCTGGCGAATGTGGCCCCGGAGGAAGACCCGTTTAACCAGCCCCTTGTGCAGCAGATTTCCTCGGATGAGTGGGAAGACGTCACGAGAGACCCGAGCCCGCTCGTTGTCGAGGTATTTGCCACGTGGTGAGCGATCCTACTGCCACGTGCTCCGTGGTTCTTCTTTCCACACGGCTGTCCAACGTTTTCAATTTCCCGTTTCCGCCAGCCTTTTGATGTGACATCCTATGTGACAAGTTGGAAGCGAACCTGTCTGAGCCCGCTCGTAATTGAGCATTTTGCGAGGTGGCGAGCAGTGTTGGTCGAAGCCTTACATTCAACCAGTTTGGTTGTTGAACTGCATCTAGTTGTTGACCTTATGACCTGCGATCAGATCAAAGATTGGTTACCCAAGATTCAACTCCTTTCGGTGCACTTGAGCGTGCCGCGAAAGCGAGCGGGCAGGTCACGTGTCTGACCATGACGGAACACCTTCCCCAAACAAACAAACAGTCAAAGTTCGATAATAACATTTTGTCCAGACAAATCAAGGCTGGCATCTTATCGATGTGGACCGCCGCTTTCCAGCAATAAGGCTTGGGTACGCCGACCTGCCAGTTTACAAGGCCCGAACATCTGCTGAGAGATGCCTGCTATCTTTGACTGCAGGGCGAGGCCCTGTCGCAGAATGGCCGTCGAAGTGGCCACGCTCGCGCGCACCATGGGCGAGCGCGTCAGGGTAGGTCCCTCATCCTGTGCTAATGACGCATCGTGTGACGTCATCGCTTGGATGAGACGGTTGCCACATACTTCTTTGATTCGTGCGTTTGCCTTATTCCTGGCTGTTTTGATAGAGCAGATTGCAAAGAGCACTTTGCAGGCCGGTGGGTTGCGCGACAGTTGTACAATACTGATCAGCCTTGGCCAAAGTGGTCTTATCGCGGTAACCCCGATACAAGCGCCCCTCTTTGCCAAGCGTTCCCACATCCACGAGTGAAAGGAAACGGAGCAATACGGGTTGAGCTTGTCAGAAGTCATCATCGTGAGGCCTTTGGCCTTGACTTTCTTCCCATGTTCTTCAGGCGTACACTTATGATCCTTGTGTCAGATGACGGCTCCTATTCATTTCATCAGGTCATCAAGGCGAGTGGTAGACGCATGCGACTTGTCTCATTCACCAGTCAACCCACCTTCTCGGCCCCGCAAGCGATTCCGCTCTTGCTCACGCATATATTCCGCTTCCGTTCAGGTCGTCAAGCTGAACGCGGAAAACGAGAAGGCGCTCGCGGCCGCGCTGCGCGTGGCGAATGTGCCGACCGTCATCTTCATCCGGGACTACACGGTCGTCATGAAGCTCGACTGTGAGGCGGCCAGCCTTGCTATGCGTGTCCTGTTCCGGCTTTCTTTCTTCTCGTCCTCTGACCCTTTGTGTTTTCGTCTTCGTCAATGTTGACTTGCTTCTTTCTTCAACCCAAGATTTCGTTATCGACTTGATGTTTTTCATCTTATTTGCTTGGTAACTAACTGGAAAATCGTGAAATGACGTCGTCGGACTTTTCAATCTCATTCTTCACGGTCTGGGTCCCTCTTTCTCAGCTTTTTCTTCTGGGATGCGACTTTCTTCAGAGCGCTCCCTAAAACCGGATAATACTTGGTCGAACTCGAAGTGCCGAACGTTTGAAACGCTGGTCAATCGCCCACAAGAAAATTGTCAAGCCCACTTGGCGTTTCGTCCCGCTTTCTGAATGAAAACCTTTGTCGTGCCCTCGTAAAGATCGTAATGCAAAACGGCACTTCAGCAATTCTCAGCTCTCGGGGTAAGCGCTGACCCGTGTTCCCTCCATTGGAGCGCAGTGGTCGACCTATTGGGCAGTAACCTGTTGAAGGTCTTTGCCCGTGATTAATTCAGAACTTCGCCAAACCTAGCTGTCAGGTTAAGCGCTAACCCGTATCCTCTCCATTGCAGCCGTGGTCGACCTACCGGGCATATCTTTGATTTTGATCGGGGTGCAATGCCACCAAACCTAAGCTGTCGGGTTAAGTCCTAACCCGTGTGTTTTCTTTGCAGCCGTGGTCGACCTGCCGGGCAGTGACCTCGTAGAGATCGCCGAGCACGTCTTCTTCCGGGGCCCATTCCCCGAGTGCATGCAGCGGGCGGTTGAACAGCGCGGGCAGGCCTGAGACTTTACTTGCGACGATTCTCTAGAAAAGGGGTGTGATTTGGGACATTCATATGTGGCCGCTGCAGAGATTTCTGCATCGCTTCGTCAAACGACGCTTGGTTGCATTTATTAGGGATGCCGCCGAGTAAGGTCAAACGGTTCAAAGGTTCGGTTTCTAGCTTATAGATGTCCCGGACTCAGAAGATATGTCAGGCCGTAACAGAACCAATTACGTCGCGGGCAGTGATCTGGCTCAACTAAGAGTTTACGCCGCCACCACCAGTTCGACATGCACGGCTCGTGTGCACTTGGAATGGCCAGACATCGGGTAATATTCGAAAATATGACTCAGTCCATGTTGCAATCTTCGAATTTAAAAAATTAAAGATGTGTTGCAATCTGTTTGGACGCGCTCGTATCGCTAGCAATGATGATGTCCGGTCTCTGCATGTCCATGTCCGTTTTCGGCTGCAGCCGCGGATGTTCGAGTCCGATCAGTATTGACATAGGCTGGCTCGACGTATGCGGGCGCGCCGGGGCCGAACATACGGACAGCAGCTAGGCCGGGTGCACTCGTTCCAAGCCGCACGGCGCAAAAAAAAATTGGGAACCGTCTGAGACACCGGGCTCATCAGCTGGAGACACCGGGACTACTATACGCGAGGCCAATTTGGTGGTCCTTCCCCTGCTCACCCACCAAACGGCATGGCCGCGATGTTGACGAGAAGGATCAAACGCTTGACCCCTTGTATATGGGCAACGTCACAGTGACGTCACCTCAAGATGGTCCAAGCTGCACGGCGCTTTCAACCAGACTTGAAGTAATTCGGGCCGCCTCGGTCGGTTTGGCCTGCACCGCCGTTTGATCCCGTATATACAAGTTCAGCATATATATGCCAGCAGGCCATGGCGGCCTGCAATTCATGAGCTGATTGTAGCGGGCTCAACGTCACATATGCACTATAGAGGGCCAGCACACACGTTGCAATGAAATTGTAGTATTGGGCTTGATTCCCAGGCTTAGCTTCAAGATTGAACTGACTGTCGGATCGGCGCCGCGATCGAAGACATGTGCCATGATCAGCTAGTAATTGCTGCTTTCGTGGAGGGACAATATCGCGTAAGGTTTTAATTCGCTCGCAGACTGTCAAATGTGCATGTGAACATGCATGAAGCTTAAGCTGGTCCCAGCGCGCTTAATGCACTCGGAGTCTACTGGGCACCCGGTTGATGCCAGTGGCATATTGAACACACGAGTCCACATGCATGGATCTCTGTCAGCATTGACGGTATGCGCCAATTTGCCGCGGTCTTCCTTCAGCTCAATCAATGCAAGGTGGAGCCAGTTGGTATGCTCATTCTCAGGTCTGCCGGCTCACAACCGACTTTCACAAGCAAAGATAGCCTTCTCGTGTAGGGAATCTTCAAAAGAGTTCTCGCGCACATTGTTCCGAAGGAGAGCTTATCATTCTCTCGCCCGCGGTCGAGTACGACCAGGGTTCCCAAGAACTGCGGCTCAACGAGGCCTCCGTTTCCGTATCTCCAGCACTTCCCGCCGCTCTTTCCGTGCCGGAATTCCGCTCTGTCTACCTTCCTGCTTGCGGTTTTCAACGCTCCTGTCCAACCGCCCCGGGCCAACGTCACTTATACTCCCATTCCCCCGGCCCGAGTCCCCAGTCTTTTGGCCAACCTCTTCTTCCTCGTCGTACGATGCTAAGTCTATTACCTCGACGGACAGTTTCCCCTTCGACTCAGCCGGTCGGTTCAATGGCCGCTTCACGTCTACTTTCTCGTTTGCCCCACCCCCGTTCCGAGAATGAATTCCCGCATCAGTGTCTATCCCTTCTGATTGAACCGGCAGCGTTGCTGCAGTCGCGTCACCCGAGGCTCGCCCTTCGTCCCGCTGCGACGTCCCTTCACTTCTTCGAACGAACCCAGCCAGCTTTGCCTGGTACGAATCCTCTATATCGGACCCCTTTGTCCGGTTCTTACCCCGCATATCCTGCTTATCACTTCTTTCCCGCCGCTTCTCATTCCCACCACCTCCCGCGAACCCCTTCACCTCATCCCCCTGACTCTGCTTCGCACCTGCAACAACCCCCCGGGCCGAGAAATCCCCACTCAACCCGCTCGAAAATACCAGCCTTTTCGCTGACGACTTTTCAACCGCCTCCTCACCACCCTTCACTCTGTCGAACTGATCCGCAAGCCTCTTCGGCGGGGTATGTTCTACCAGACAGTCCTCAGCGCGCCGTTTCGACGGAGTCACGGGCGAGCCCTGCCCGGGGGATCCCTCCGACGGGCTCCTCCGGACAGGCGTGGTCGGTCGGTCCGAGTCGCCGACACGTGTCGCCTTACGAGTGCGTCGCGGGGGCGAGTCGTCGATCTCCACCGGCATCGCCCATGTGCCCAACAAACCAACCGAGGACTCTGTCCCACCTCTAGTTGTCTTCCGAGCTCCTTTCATCGCCGTGTCTCTCCTCCGCACCTCATCAGCAACACCTTCCCCTTCGCTCTCGTTCTCGGAGAACTCCACCAACCGCCTCCCCTCAAATTGCTCTTCCAACTTTTCCTTTCCCTTTTCTCTCCTCAATTCTCTCCTGTCCACGCCGTGCACATACGGAGCCGCCAGATCACCCGCACCCCCTGCTGACGCGACCCCACCTATTGCTGACGTCACTCCCCCGTGCCCCGGGTCGAGCGTCGCGAGCCGCCGCTGCAGTTCCGCCAGCTTCTCGAAGCCCGCGCGCCGCTCGGGGTGCTTCATGAACGGGCTCTCCGGCAGTTGTTCGAGGAGTGAGGCGCGCCGCCCGAACGTGCCCGGGAGACCGTCCGAAGAAGCGTCCGCACCTAGTTGTGGAGCAACCCAAGAAGCGTCCGCGTCTAGTTTTGGAGCGTCCGGAGCAGCGTCCGCATCCTCTTCCACTAGTTGCGAAAGCCCCTGTCTTTTCTTCTGCGCGAATGGCCCCCTTTCTGTTCGCAGCTGATCCAATTCCTCGGAGCCCCTTCCCGCATCTTTGAACCGGTCAAACTGCGTCCGTTGATCGATCCGATCGGACGGCCCAGCGTCGTCCTCTGCAAACGATCCGTCCCCTCCGCGAAGAGACATATCGCTCCGTTTTCCGGACGTCCGGAACGGCTCTCCGTCGCTGCTTCCAGGCCAAAGACCAGTGCGAATCGAATCACCAGAGGAACGGAAGGGATCCCCTGTGACTTCGGCTGTCGTCTCGCTTCCCCCCTGGTCTGCAGCCAGCTTTTGCGCCCCCCCATTTGCACCCCCTTCCGGCCCCCCCTTGTCCGCAGCGGGAAACGCACCCCCCGTTGGCAGAGTAAACCTCGCTCCCCCTTTCTTGGTGACGAAGAACGACTTGATGTTGGTCTGCTTCAGAGCCGCCTTCTCTTCGCGCTCCTTCTTGCGCGCCTCCTTTTCCGCTTCCTTCTGCGCCTTGGCTCGCACCTTCTCAGCCTGCATGAACAAAACGTCGTCAGCCCGCTGACGTCTTGCTGGCGTCAGCAATCGACATTCTGAAATCCAGTTGATGAGGGAGACCTTCATTGCAGCGTGGCCGGCAATGTTGCTCACAGCGAGACTTAGGCTGGATGCAAACGAACAGATATTTTTATTTGTCAAGGAATGTAAGCCATCGTCAATCGCTGAGCGACGAGAAGTGATACTTTACCCGCACAGGTTGAGGTGTCTTTGACTGGATTCTTGAGAAAGGCTGGAGGCTTTGCGGAAGGAGCGAACGGATAAATCTTGCTCTGGCCACATTCAGAAACGGACTCTGCATTGGTTTCTGCAGTCCAGACACACGCCCCTCTTTTTTCTACAACGACGTGTTCTCGATCGAAAAAACAAACTCCGCAGATATGCCCCACAAGAGTCCGCAGACCTAACTTCCTCCTTCTCAACTTGATTCCCTGCTCTCTCAACCGCATGCACAAGACGGGATTCCACTCGAAAGCGATCCCCTCCCGTCCTGTTAACAAAGAAAACCTGGCCACCAATTCCAATACACTTACCAACGCCTCTTCAAACGGTTCCGCCACGTCTGGAAACGACAAGACCCTTTTCGCGTCCCAAGTTTCTGTTCAAGAACGAGTTCCAACCAAGATTCGTTCACCAGATCCATTCGCTTACCAACGCCTCTTCAAACGGTCCCGCCACGGTCGGAAACGCCAGTTGCACCATCAACTTCCGTTCGTCGGTCGAGAACCCGCTGGCCTTCCTCCACTTTAGGACCACCTTCTTCGGCCCCTCGTCGTCCGCTTCCGGGCCTTGTTCCCCGTCCTCGTCGCGCTCTTCTGCCTCCTCCTCCCCGTCGGCTTCGTCAGAAACAAGGCCTCCCCCCGCCTGGTTTGTTCCTACATCACTCCTCCCTGCATCGTTAGGTGTAGGTATCGGTCCGTTGTTCGCAGGAGCTTTAGAAACCAGATGTTCACATTCTTTCCAGTCATTTCAGCACTGTCACAATCCTCCAGAAGAAACCTGCATTGCTGCACGACGGTCAAGAGGACTTAGAAAGCTATAGCCTACACTTGTCTTCCGTGTAGATTCAGCAGGGGTCCGACTTATCCCAAACCGGAGTAGCGTACCTTGCACCTTCCACACTGGGCCAGGAAACCACTGTTCGTCCACTCGTGTTCATCGACTCGTGTTCTCCGACGTTTTCTTCTTCTCGTGTTCATGCACTTTGTGTTCATTCACTTATCTTCATTCACTCTTGCTCAAACCCGCATCTGGAGATTGATAAGGCCTTGTATCGGGTACCCACCTGCCGAATCGCCTGCGACGCGCCGCCACTGTATCCGATACAGGGCCTCCGAGGCATCCACCTTGATCCGCTCCACCTTGCTGGGTTTGAAGCTGGAGTCAAGAAGCAGGTCGTCTGGTGAAAGCTGTTGTAAGCCTGGAGGTGCGACCAATGCTCCCACTCGGTGCAGGCACCCGAGGTCGGAAACCATTTCCCGATGGAGGCGAGCCGCCATAATCTGAGATGAACAAAGTGAACTGTAAGAACCCCATACGAGTGTTACAGCTGTTTTCGTCAAACTTCTCATCGCGGCGTCAATTCACAATCCCGAACTTTGCGAGACCGTTTCTTGATTTGCAACAAAGTGAAGTTAGCTTTACCGATATTGGGGCGTTGATTCCAGTATGACGTTGCGCTACCACAGGTCTTCAGCATCAGGATTCAGAAACCGGATTTGCGAGTTGAGGATCGGAAACCGACGAGTTTCGATCGACGCCGCGATGGCAAGCAACGCAATCAGGTTTGAGTTGAAGGATAAAACGAACGAGATCTTGATGCCAGCAGGATTTCCGCTGCTAGCTTCCGCAGTTCCACGGTCAAGAACTAGGATAACCTCATGCAGCATTACCTAAATCATCGTGCAAAATTCCACAAAATCGTGCAAATTCCACAAAAGCGTGCAAAACTCCACAAAATCGTACAATATTCTTCGAAATCGTGCAAAATTCCGCAAAGACGTGCAAAACCATACAAAATCGTGCAGAATGGCCAAGCGGCGACCACCCACCTGCGAGAGATAGTGAGCGGTCGCCAGCGGCAGAATTGTACAAGCTCGTGCAAATTGTTACAAAATGTGCAATATTCTACAAAATCGTGCAAAAACGCAAAGCGGCGACCCCGCCCACCTGCGATAGATAGTGAGCGGTCGCCAGCGGCAGCGCCTTGAGCTGCCAATGCTCCTCCGACTCCTCGCACTTGGCCGTCATAAATTTGGCCAATCCGTCCAGGTCGGGGGGGTCCCACACCAGCAGCTGGTCCAGGGGACGCTGCCCCCCTGAAACAGACAAGACGCGGTTTCAGTTGCATGCGCTCTCTTTTGGTGTTCCGGGACACAGGGTACAATGGACAAACTGGGGTAAGTGGCGGTACGCTTATGGGAAGCGCTTATGGCCGCAAAGTTATAATCATCTATTCGCGACTGTTATGGCAGCCTTTGTTTATGAGGCCCTTACCAAAACCTGAGAAAAGACTTTGCGCAACAGCAGAGACCCACATCTTTGTCCTCAGAAGCAACGAGCAAGGCACCAGAGTGGGAAAATGGTGGTCCCACTTTCGGCCAGCGAGCCAGCATAGACGAACATCGAGAATCCCACCAGCTTTTGCCATGCAACGCCGAGCGGCGTTGGCAGTGCCGGCTCAACTGCGGCGACTTAAAAAGAAAGAAAGAATCGGTTTACAAGGCTCCTGCTTTTTGCCCAAAAGTCATGAAAATTCGAAAGAGGCACGTGCCTTTCAGGTGGCTCAGGCTACGTGGATCGTCCCGCATGAAGATTTCGATGATGTCCTCGTTTGGGAAGTCGGACTGGCGCGCGATCTTGTCGCAGATCTTGCCCCACCAGGACTCCTGCTTCTGCCGCGCCTTGCCCACACGGGCCTGCACCGTCGACAAGATATACGTCAGACTTGGATTCCATTATCGTACTATTGCTCTCTTGAAAGATAAGAAAGGAAGAGCTTGCCTTTGCATATCCGCACCCATAATAGCTCAATCTGCATCAAGAGATCTGGACCCGAGTTCTCAGACGCGCGGTCAGGATCTGACGTCACAACTAGTTCCAGCTTTTGAGTGTCAGCGATTCGCGTCTGGCCTAAGGTTCAAGCTTCGAGTTCACAATTTCAGGCGCACGGTCAAAGTTTGAAACCAATTTCAGACCGTGCTTTCGAGGGCAAGGACCAGGAGACTAGCACCTCGTGTGCCCGGTAACTCCTGCAAACCGGACCTCCGAATCCCGCGAAGAAGTGACGACACTCCAGAATTATGAGCCGAAATGCACCTAAAACTGGTTAGGTGTCAAAACGTTTGACGTTGGATGTTGTCGCTCTGTAATTCTTCTGACGTTTGAGATCGGTCTGACAGGCATCGAAACTCTCTTATTTGATTGTACAGAGGCTCCTACCTGCACGCACCATTCACACTGGCACTGAAAACCCCGTCCCTTTTTTGTACACTCCCCCCCCTCAGTTCCGCAGCCGTCACACCCCCCCTTCCGGTGCTCCACGACCTTCCCCGGGTGCCCGCACGTGCCACAATGGATAGGCCTGGATGACGTGGCGCTTTGGGATTGGCCGACGGGTTCGTCCTCGCCGAACATCTCGGCGTCGGTTGGCGCCTCTCCTCGACCCCAAGCGCGCAGCCTGGGAGCAATGAAACGTATTTATCGGCTTTCCGTGGTGCTCGCAAACGTTCTTCTTGTCGTTCCAAAGAGCGGAAGCGGCTTGAAGTTGCGAATTCCGACAAAGTCGCATTCAATCCTCGACCTACTGTCGCCTCTTCGAGCTCACACTTCTATGAGTGGAGGTGGCTTTTGACGTTGTTCTGACTAAAGCATATTGAAAAAGACGCAGGAATCTGATCAAGGCATAATCTGTATTGACCTGGCAATCCATTCCAACTGCCGATGCCCTGTCGTCAGAGCCCAGTCCTGTTTGCAAATCCAGGTTCCGAAAACATACGAGCGAAGAGGATTGTTTGCAATTTGTCGAGCGCTTAGACCTGATACCCGCGAACCCCTCTGTTCCTTGCACTCATGCAATTCTACAACACCTGGATTCGTGCCCCTGTAACTCGGCGAATGTGCAGCTTCGAATACGGTCAATCACGATCAACCGGCCCCCTTACCTATCAAGAATCTCGTCCTCCTTGAACCCGCTCACGAGCTTGATCCCCTGCTTCGGCCCGCATCCCTCGACCCCTTTCTCATCAAAGTCGCACCCCAAGAGCATCGCCAAAGCCACCAGATGCGCCCGTCTCAGCCCCAGTCTCTCTGCGATCTCCACCGCTTCGTAGCGGTCAACGATCGGCTTTTTTAGGTCCGCCGCTAGTTCTTTAATCAGCGTTCTTGCGCCGTACAGAAACGCGTCGCTGTCCGGAGAGACGCACGCGTCCACGTGTCCAGCGGCGTTCAGCTGCGCGCAGAGCGCCTCGGCCTCGGCGCGGGCGTATATGACCGGGAGACCCATAAGCCGGAGGAGGTCCTGCAGAGAGAGAAAAGTAGATATTTTTCATAGATGGTCCCTTTCCCGGGAATCTGTTCGTCGACAGCAGCGGTTATTGTGCGACTCAGCTAGTCCCGCCTTGGGCGCACACGACTGGAAGGCCGAAAAGCTGGAGGACGTTCTGCAAGATATGGATCGCTAGACGTCTCTCGAGAATTGTTACCATTCCTTTTTTTCCCCTTTCTCCACGTGTCCAGCAGCGTTCAACTGGGCGCAGTTTGAGAAGAAACCTACTCTCTTCTACCCCGCAGGACCTTCTCCGATACTTCTCTAGACTACCGTACCGATTGTCCGGTTGGGCAGAGTTTTGCCCAATGATTAATCTCGTGTGCTACGGTATTTGGGCAGCTTCATTTACTATTATTTATTCTGTATTTTAATGGGGCAAAATCATTTGCAAATTTGAAATTGGAATTTGTTATACACTCAAATCTGGGCAAGTCACAGAATATTGAGTTGTTGCCCAACCGGACAATCGGTATGGTGGTTATAGTAAGCTCAAGTTATAGAAGAACGAAGCTAAGACCAAGAACCTAAACCCGAATAATCACCCGCTCCGCACCCGTACCCACCCTAACCACCATACTAACCCTGCCCCTGAGCTTACAATACCTACTCTCGAGAACGATCCTTCTCCGGCCTAAGGGCCTTTGAGTCATTCACGCCAGCTGCCGAGTCTGAGGCGCCCAGTTGCAAATTTCAGACGGGGGAAAGCGAGAAGGCAATGGAACACGAAGAAAAGAATCGCTTGAGAAAGAGATAAAGGATTTGAGGGAATAATGGAAGCTTTGCTTGCTTACCACCGTTTCCTGCACTTTATACTCCCACTCATAGTTCCGCCGGACGGCGCCCCCTTGCGCACGTACGACGCGATCCGGGGCTTGCATTTGGTGCTGTGCGTGGTATCGCTTCAGGCGGGTCTGCATCTTGAGCGAGGGAGCGTCCCCGTCGACCACAAACACGGGCAGGGCGCCCACCTGCAAAAGAAAATTTCCCTTTTCTTGTTGGTTCTTTCGTTTCTTTTGTGAAGACAAGAGGTTTTCTACAAGAAGGAGTTGACGAAAACGAGAAATGGCGGGCTGAGAAAAGGTGCCTTTGCCTGAAAGACTGGGAAAGCGGCTTACTGAGCCAAAAAAGTGCGCTCTTCGGGTGAGTTCCAACATTGATCTTGCAGACTGAATCACTGAGAGAATATTGTATGTGAGACTGAGTTGCAGATGTGAAGTGGAACGTGCGACAAACATTTATCACGGCCTCGAGAGCATATGCCCAAGATGGAAGCCGGGTCAGGAGGATCTTACAGACTCTATGACCTTCTGGTTTTGAAGCTCGTTCTTTGACAACAAGACAACAAGCCACCGTCTCAAACCTCCGAAAATGCAACTCTTTTCCATGAACTTGAGCCCGATGACTTTCCGACACATAAGCGCCCGCCTCTGTGAACATAGGCTGGGCCTCTCATTAAAAGCAAAGCCAGCCTCTGTGACCATAGGCTGGGCCTCTCATTCAAAGCAAAGCCAGATGCATTTAACAAATATTACTCAAGGTGGTTCGAAAGGATTCGGGCCTAGTAATGCTCACCCTGGAAATCAGCTTAACGGTGCGATAAAACACGTTGCGCAGGTGTGGTTTCGCCACGGCGTCGCTTAACCGCCCCATAACTGGGTGGTTATAAGTGCCCACGTTTTCACATATCCAGAAAGAAAGATCGATTGCCAGGATTTTCCCTTGGAGGTCCGTGAGGGTTTTCACGCGCTCGCTGAGGTCAGCTGTGACGTCGGTCCGATGGCCATATGGCCGCAGCTCGTTCCACAACCCAGGGATGCCCATTTTGAGTTTCTGGTTAAGGACCAGAATTAACTGCAGGGTTAAAACGTCAGAATGATCAGAGGTTGGGTTGTCTAGCTTGGCTAGAGAGGTTTGTCAAGACCACATCTGGTCTGGTCTTTCGGAAACCCAGAGCAACAAGTCTGTATCTCTGGCTTGTTTCAAATCCACAGAAGTCCTATCCTAGGTTAGCAGGTGCGGTTTAAGTGCAACGGGGGGGCAGGCGTGGCTCAAGCAATCAAGTGAGATGGGCACTCGGTCCTGGGAACTGCAAAGCATGTCCTTCAAAAGAGACAAAATCAGGATAATAATTGCAATAATCGAATGTTTTAGAGGTTAAGGTGGCAACTTGACCATGGGTATGGGGAGGGTTAGGAAAACTAGGCCGTTTGGGGATTGCAAAAGCCTCAGAGCCCAGTTCAGGAGTCAGGGGGGCAGGGTTGAGGGGGATTCCTAAAAGCACTCAGCCGATTGGCTCTACTCGACCAAAGCCCAGGAGATGCCCACATCGGATTAGGGCGGGTTAATACTGACCATGGGGGAGAAAGTACCAGTCTAAGTTGGGCAGATTTTTGCTGAGGAGGATCCGTTCAACCAGATTTGCTCTTTTGCTCACACGCTTTCCCTGACCCCAGAATCACGATCACCACCAACTTGTCTGCTTCCGGATTTGATGCAACATTCTTGGAAAGGGGGCAACCAAAGTGCGAAGAACAATCTGCGTGACCCAAGCACATACCAGTCCATCGAAAGGGGATAAGCGCGAGGCAAATGGAAGTGCAAGCTTGCCCCTTGAACCAAGAAATGGATGCGTTGTCTACCAAGCAGCGCCAATGCAGTCTGGCTCCAAGGGCTAAGATGGGAAAATCATGGACCCACTAATGGAAATTAAACAAGGAGAGCGGCTCATTGTGCAGCGGGCACGCTTTTCCCTTGAATGCTCCTAATTTGAATGAGGTCAGGCCAGCCTTCATGCAAAAGGAACTAACCTTGAGGGAAGATCAAATTGCTGTGACACTACTCTGTCGTCTCATTTAGGACTCCAACTGCATATGCCACCGCAAATGCAACTAGAGCTGGGAAAAAGAGCTCCTGCGTGGCTTCTTGCTCTTCTCGCCCTTCTCTCAGCTCCATCTCTGATGCATCATTATTGCACCATGCTTGTTCTTTGTATGCATTCTGACCGATTGCCCTTTTTGTGCCTCTGAATGGGCCTCTTGAGCGGAGTGGCAGAGACTTCAAGCGACGGGTAGGAAAGTTTTGACATGTACAGACTCTACCTCTGGTGTCGTCCAGCTGGCATCATCATTTCAGCTGATTCAACCATAGCAGTGTGAACTCCGAGGAACCCACAAGAACGGTGCGCCATCCTGTTTCCGTGCCATTGAAGGTTTCTAGCTGCCCTGCAATCCTCCTGCAATTTGCCAATGCAGGCGGGGGCGGTGTTCCCCTGCAATTTGCAAACAGCTCGTTCAATATTTGCTAGCTCTCGGAATTCCGGGTGCTTGGAGGCGCCCCGAGCGCTTGTCTCGTACCCGGGGACCACAAGCCCTGGGCCCTGGCGTCCCGACTCCTCAGGGAAACGTCTGTTACCCGGTGCTGATTCTACCTCGAGGGTCAATCAGTGGACGGTAGAGTTGTGAGGCGCCCGGGAGGCTGGAGTTGAAGAAACGGTACACCTCTCCGGCCAGAGACACCTGCACTCTACTCGAGAGCTGAGTTTGGAGAATACTTTTGCAGCCATTGAAATTGGACACGTGATCATCGAAGGTACAGCTCGACGGAACAGAGTCTTGACTTTGAGCTCAAGAGAACGAAGAGAGAATGCGTTTATCAGCATTTCAAGTTGGAAGGAAGAAGCTGAAGAAGTGTCGTAGGAGCTTTTTCAGGCGCAGAAGCCATGGAATTTGCGCGATGCATTTTTTGGGCAGCATTGCGTGAATAAGGTGCATGAACTCACAGGAGTGGGGCGTAGCGGGCGAGGGGCACCGGGCTCCCACCGAGGCGCTGAATAAAACGCCATTCAATGTGGTGGTGCAAGCTTTTGCGGGGAGAAACTTTTTGGCCCTCAGGCTGGAAGCAGGAGAAGAGGTGGGAGATACTCTCGGGAAGCAGCTTTTCCTCAATGTGGCTAGAAGGAAACTCGGCAAGCGGTTTCTCGAAGCCCTAGGACCCGCATTGGTCGAAGCAGTCGGTATCTTTGATGCATGCACCGGGGTCGAGTTCCCAGACTACCTGTCACATTTCTGGAAGCTCTGAAGAGATTCCTCGACCAGCTTGGCCTGCTGACCGCTAGCGACAAGGAGCTGCTCACGGACAAACTGAAATGGAGGTTGCAAGCGACGCAGGAGAGGTACAAGATTAAGCTGGTCGAAGAAAGATGCGTCAGGGCAGAGGAGAGAGACGAAGAACTCAGGAAGCTGAACATTCTCACCAGGCAAAGGAGAGCAGCAGCAGCCGGAGAAGAACTTCTGCCTGTCTGTGGATTCGCAGCAAAGCGGGGGAGCCCGTCTGACACGTGGTGGTTAACACCACAAGAGAGGAGCCTGATCTGGGCTCTCCAGATAGCAAACCCCTGCTCTCCTACGAACTGGCCGCTGCTTGCCGCGCAAGGGAGATTCTCAGAACTGCAGCTCAAAAGCCTCGCCGCATCGTCAATCGACCTGGCAAGAACGGTAGAAGCTGTCGCCTTCAAAGCAGTCAGGTGGGAGGGCCCTTCTGAGACCCCGAGGAACAGAGAACCGAGTCCTACGCTCTTCGAGACGCCACCGCAGTCCCCGTCCCAACTAGAATGATGCAGGGCTTCGAAGCGGAAAGGAGGGAGAAGCGGCTGATAGAAAACTTGGGCAAGTTAGTGGGAAAGGAGAAGTTAGTCGGCTGCCGATTCAAGTATAGGCCTGCAGAAGATGTGCACCGGGTGTTCGTAAAAGTGACGGGGCTTTCAGAAAACGAAGGTGGACTCGAGCTCAAGGACCTGGAGTCGGAGGAAACGTACAGTAAGGTCCAGCCAAAAGAGCTGTCAGTGGGGGTTAGAAGTCGGAATGAGGGAGACCCGCTGATTGCGCTGCTCAAGGAGAACGGAATGGAAGCTGATCCTTTTCTGAAGCCCTCCAGAATGTCTCCAGACCCGCGCGACCGGTCAGAAAGGTTCGAGACGCCAGAAGAGGGAGCGTACGAATTCTCCCAGAGGCGCAAGACTCCTGGAAGGTTCCGGTCTCCTTGGGAAGGGGGGCTAGGTGTGAATGCGCACCAGAGGGATCCCTTCGGTCGCTACAGGGAAGAAGAGTGGGGCGCATTCGAGATTCCTGAACTGGGCCGTGATAAAGAGCTGCAGCGAGAAAGGTCCGGCCTGTTTCAGGGGGCAGCAAGGCAAGAAGAAAGGGATCTGGATGGGAGAGCCAGGCAGGACCGGAATTCACCTCAGCAAGTGGAAGGCTTTAGGGGGGCCCCCCCGGGGTTTGCTCAGAGGGGAGAAGAGGAAACTCAGTATAACACCCAGTACCCACCTGTGACGATTACGTCTGGTTAAGCCTAACCTCGTTCTCGTCAGGATTTCGTTAGCTGCTTGTTAGCAAAACGACAGCGGTTACGTCTTAACGGCGCGCTGTGAGACCGTTGATGTACGGCGTTCTATCCAGATGACTCGACCTGGTCTTGTCTATCTGTGATGCTTTCCCGGATGGAACGGCTTTCTTTGCCGTTGCTACCATTCCGGTGGATCTTCGTTCGGCTCTGCCGTTCGATGCAGTCAAGCAGATAT